TCTAACACACACTCTAACACTCTAACACACTAACACACTAACACTAACACACACTGTAACACACTCTAACACTCACTCTACCACGTAGCCTTGTGCTCTGGTTCTTTCTGAACATCTTGGTGGAAAATTTTCTAACTGAATTCTGAGAAAGCAGCTCGGCTCACCACTGCCTGTGTTCGTGGAGCTAACTACACGCACACACAGAAACACACACAGCTTCACCTGCTGCGGTGTTAGCGTGTTGCTCAGCGCTCAAAGACAGGAGTCAAACCAGCATCACTGCCAGACTCCCTTTGAAAATTAACTGAAAACGGAGACCCACACACAGCTCAGGTCACCTGCGAGTGTGTGTGTGTGTGTGTGTGTGTGTGTTTTGTCATTTAGGTACTTTTAGGTATTCAGGTGTTATTTGAACTGAGGTTCTACAGAAATAGTCTGTCAGCTGATCTGAAGCCCGAGGCGGAAACTCAACCACACGGATTACCTGGAAAGATATTTCTAGGTAATACCACACACGAACACACACACACACACACACACACATGTTATCAGGCAGTAGATAAAACTGAAGGAAACCACAGCGACAGGATAGAATATAAATAGAAAGTGAAAGCATCTCTGTGCTGCGTTCAGGGGGTCTTTCACACACACATTATCTTCAGATATCAAACCTCATCTGCTCCTGATCTGACACAACCTGAACCAGGTCTTCTCTAGTCCAGCTCAGCCCCAGGTCTGTGGTCTAAACTGAACCTGACAGCATGATGAAAGTATGCTGCATCTCCTGTCAGCCTATGAGTCACATGAATGTGTTTTTAATAACGTTAGAGATGGTGACTGCTTATTGATCCAGGTCAGGTTTCCCCAACAGACGTCTAGAAGTGACTCTCTTTTGGTCCTTTAAGAAGAGCTTTTCAGATGGAGGTTTGGAAAGGACCAGTTAACTAGCAGCAGTCTTTAAACACAAGTATGAGGCTTTCTCCAGTGGAAGTTTGGAATAAAGCCGTTAATGAGCAGCTAGTTCTGTTCTGGTGTGGTTGTTTTTTAAAACCACGTTTTCCAAATGGAGGTTTTGAATGTAAACATGTTATCAGGTCACATTTGAGTTATTTTTGAGCCCATAAAGGCCTCGAGCAAAACGTTTTTTAGCTTATAACATTCTGCAGCTAAGAAACAAGTGATCAGTCATTTCTTGGGTTGACAGTGAAACGAGCTCCGTGTTTCTGTCTCAGTTTCAGTCAGACGAGTCTCGCTGTGTTTCTGTCTGCCTCTCCATCGCTCTGCCCTCCAACACACACACACACACACGCGCACACACACACACACACACACACACACACACACACACACACACACAGTTTGTCTGCAGAGTTTTAGGGATTTTCTGCACTTTGCATATCATTTGCATTCAAACCAAAATACTGTCTGCAGTGTCACATCTGATCTCCCACATACACACACACTCACACTCACACACTCACACTCACACACACACACACTCATTACATATCCCGGTTGACACCCGAAACAGAGAAAACCATCTCTTATTAATAAACGTGTTTATTCTATGCTTTACTTCACACGTCTGATTTTATTGATTATTTCTCTTACTGATTTCTTGATCCACGCTGTGAATGTGACGGAACTTGATCCAGACGGCCCCCTGCAACCCCTTCAAACGCCACAGGAGCCCTCTGAAGCATGAAGAATCAGTCAAGAACCCCGTCCTTTCAGGGACTTCTGGAACCAACTATGGAAGGGCCCAGTAATCCCCAGACAACCCTAAACCCTGTCCTGGAACTTCAAGGACTTCTGGAAGCGAATGAAAGACTGCTCAGTCACTGCCGAGCATCCCTGAACTATTTCAGCGACCTCTGAACACTGTCTAAGATACCTTTCAAGGACCATTGGAATCGCATCAGGGACCTGAAGAGCCGATTGTGAAGCATTTTCATGATGTAACAAGATAACATGACGTAATAACATTAAACAAGAAACAGTCACCTCATACTTTTAATCTTTTCATATTTTCTCTTTTAACCAAACTCCCACCAGATTTCACTGATTTCACTTTTTCTTTGGTTCGCACGTCAGCCACCTCGGTTGTTTGTATTTTCTGTCCCGGTCTCCAGGAGCACCAAGTCACCTGACTCCTACATCCACCTGCTCACCTGTTTTGCCCCCCACATCTCCACCTGCTTCTGCCCTCCTGTTACCTGTTCCTGTGTCGTCTGCTAATATGCTAAATCAACAGAAAACTCAATGGAGTCTGGTTTGTGGTGAGGAAAGAGACTCCTACCCATCCTCCGTTATCCTCTATCCATCCTCGGAGTGGCGGCGAGTCCAGACTCTCCTCCATCCACCCGGCGATGTCGTCCACCTGCCACGTCCCGCCCGTCTTGACCACCTCGGCGCACAGAGCGCCGCACAGCTCCATCATGGCCACGATGCGTCCCCAGTTCACCCCATCCCTGAACAGCTCCTCCCTGACCACCGTCAGGCTTCGCCGTCGTGCCGCCAGGCCGGCGTCGCCCTGCAGCAGCACCGACACATGGGCCGACAGGTCGCCGCGGTAATGGTGCTCCAGCTCGTCACCGGCGCACCGCAGGACGACCTGCAGCCGGGGTGGAGCCAACCAGGAATCTATGAAGAGGAGACCACCAATCATCAAGGAGGAGACGATTAGTATGTGTGTGTGTGTGTGTGTGTGTGTGTGTGTATATTTTATTTATTCACTTTTCTACTAATTGTTGTTGTTGTGTTGCTCAGGGAGGAGGGACCCTTTAAAGACAAGAGGGGCCAATCACAGCCCTTCTGTCAGGCAGGTGATGCATGTAATATACGGAGAGTACCATGCCTGTGTACTTGTATGTTTAGGTGATCCATGTCCAGTACTACAGAAGTATGTACCGTCAAACGTTTGACCCCTTCACTTCCACATAAAGACCACATGACTTCATGTACAGAAATAAAGATGCGGTTGCATGTTGACATGTACCAGAACAGTAAACATAAACAACCTCCTGAGAACCAGTTAGCCTGGTCTGTGTATTATCTTTGATTACAGCTCATTCATTATGTTGTTTGTCCGCCTCTGATAACACATACATCAAAGAAAAGAAGCCTCGACATAAAGGCAGGATAATTAGAAAGGCGTAAAATTAGCAACAGGCAGTGTCCAGTATAACACAGTGAACACTACAGCCGGGACCAAACACATCCTCCGAGACCGACAGAGGCCAGTTTGACGACGGGGAATACAGTGCTGAGGTGGCTGAGTCAGCTAATAAGACCGCTAGCTGCACCGCTAACCGAGCTAACTAGCTACAGATGCAGACAGATACAGTTAGCGGTTTAGCATCTGTAAACCACTTTTGTTCATGCTGTGTTCACTAGGAGGCTTAGGAGCTCGGTGTTGTTGCCCGCGCTTGGCTCCGGTTCTGGTTCCCAATGCGGCGCCGCTGAGTCAGCTATGACCGCTAGCTGCACGGCTAACTGAGCTAATTAGATAACAGCAGCTAGTTAGCAGCAGTTAGCAGTCACTTTAGCATAAAGCAACAACGTGTCCATCAGGAAACTCTGTAAATCACAGAGTTGAGGCAGAGCTGCGTGGGGACATGGAGAACTTTAATACCGAGCAGCACGTCGGCAGCGAGGCAGCTGACGTCTGATGCTGACAGAGCAACAGGTCGAGTCATCCGTTTGACTCCGCCCATGTTGAACAGCGTCCCGAACTCTGCTGTCACTCAATCTGACCTCCATTAAACGTCACACCAAGGAGGCACGTGACATCATAAGAAAAGAGGAGGAGCTAAACAGTGATGTCACTCATGCTATGACGTCACCTTATACCATGAGCAGTGACATCATCATGCTACGAGCAAAAGAAGTGACATCATAACAGGAAGAGCAGAGAGTACTAGTAGTCATAGTAGCTTTATTTTTAGTACTACGTGTCATAGTATTAGCTTTTTTGTAGTAGCCTAGAAGTAGTATGTGAAGTAGTAGTAGTCGCTTTATTTTTAGTAGTAGTAGTAGTAGTACTTGCAGTAGTAGTACTTGTAGTAGTATCAATAGACTCCTCCACATACCCCTTTGATGACATCATAATCAATGATAAGACAGTAGCCGTTGCTGTGACAACACGGTCACCTTGCTCACCTGGCTGGTGTGACCTTGCTCCCTCAGATCTCCATGACAACCATGACGTTGGCGCACCTTGCTCGCGCCTTGGTCGCCAGCCGCCTGTTCGTGCTGGCCGCACGCGCCACGCCACGCCGCTGTTGAGCAGCTTGTAGCGGAGGTAGTCCTCCACGATGTCCCGGCTGCTGTAGGCGGCTGACATCACCCCGCCACCCCCCTACAGGCCGCCGTCCGTCACTGCCACGTCTAGACACTGACCTCACGCATCCTCAGAGACACAGCCAATAGGAGCACGGCGCCTGATGACGTCAGCAAGAAACGTCGCCAGCTGAATCCGCCGATCCGCGGTGTTATTATTATTATTATTATTATTATTATTCAGTGTTTCCTAAATCAGTCAATAGTTCAGCTGTGAACACACATCCGAGTCCATGTTTGGATAAAATCCTTCAAAAGCTGAAGTTTGAAACTGATCCAGCAGAAACGGGTCTCAGCTGACCGTGAAGACCGCGCGGCTGTGTTGATTATCTGATGATGGAAGCCGCGAGGTGAAGAATCTGAACACACATGATGCGCAGAGGAAGCGGACCCGCTGCTGCGGATCGGTAACCCATGTGAAGCTGTGGACAGACGCAGGATCAGGTCCGGGTCTTCCTCCGGGTCCGTAGTACTCCTCACTGATACCGCACGTGCCGCACAAACACACAGGCGCACTCACAGCCGGTGGTCACGCCCCCTCCGGGATTCCCCTCCGACGGTCCTCGCCGCCAGACTCCGGTCAGAAAAGTCCCTATAAATCCCTTCAGAGGATGATGAGGATGAAGGCTTCTGGATTCACATTGATCCGGCTCAGATCCGGCTCGTGGGTCGGAGAGAAGTCACAGAATAACGGTCACTTCCTCCTGCGTCACTCTCATTCATGCTTTCACTGCGTAGTGCGCGTCCGTGTCACTTTTGAAGTACTGCGTTTTCCTTGTCTTGATAAATGTGTATTATTAGTAGTACTACTACGTGTAGTACTTGTAATAGTGGTATTAATCTTTGTAGCGGGAGTATAATAGTAGTGGTGGTCTGGAAGTATTAATATTATTGTTTTTATTAGTAGTAGCTACCCTAGTAGCAGTAGTATTACTTAGTTGGTAGTTAATAGTAGGCTAGTATTATTTACAGTAGACATACTATTAATAATGGCACTAGTACCATTAGTACTAGCTAGTAGAATGAAGAGTACAATAGATAGAGCTTGTAGCCTAGCAGTATTATTAATACTGCAGTATTCCAGTAGTAGTATTGTAGCAGAATCAGCAGTAGTAGTTCTTGTTAGCAGAAGTATTATTATCAGCACCAGTTGTTGTAGCACTCGAGTTAGTACTGATGGCACTCTAGTTGTAGTAGAGGTCATAGTACGTAGCAAATAGTACTTGTAAAAGTAGTATTTGTTGCAGGAGTATTAGTAGTAATAGTAGTAGTAGGCTTGCAAGTATTATTATTGTTTTTATTAGTTGTACCCTAGTAGTAGTAGAAGTGTTCCTAGTGGTTGTAGTATATTTAATTGTAGTATTTCTTACAGTAGACAAACCATTATAGTTGGTACTAGACTATTTGTAGTGGTTGTAGTAGTAGTATGATTAGTAGTAGTAGGCCTAGTTGTGGTGACGTATACCTACTAGTCGTAGTAGTTGTAGTATTTTTACTAGAATAGCGTTTAGTACTGTGGTACTATTAGTACTAGTATTAGTAGTAGTGGTACCTCTAGTAGTTCTAATAGTAGCAGTAACAATAATAGCAGTAGTTCTTGTAGTAGTAGCTGCACCAAAGTTGTAGTAGTAGCAGTAATAGTACTTGTACTACATGTGTTTGTGTCAGGTGACTGCCACAACACTGGCGGATCAGTACTACAGTACCAGCAGCAGCAGTAGTAGTAGGATTGTAGTATCTCAGTGGTTTCTGTTTCAATAAAAAACAATGTTTATTGATCAGCTGAATGGAAACTTGTTGTGGTTTATTTGTTGTTGTTGATGAGCTGTTGTTTGTGTAACACGTGTGTGTGTGTTTGTACTTGTTTTCATGACAACTGAGGACATTTTTATGATAACACACCTTCAATATCAGGACGTCCAGAAAAATAAGGACATTTTGGGGGTCCTCATTTTTCCAAGCTCACTACAGAGTTCTAGATGCTCCCTGAATGCCTCTAAGCCAAAAATCTCCCATGTCCTGAAATATCACAAGTTTACAAAGTGTGTGAATGTTTTTTGCTCATTTGCTGATACGCCAACTAGTGGTCAGTTTTGGTACTTTAACACACTTTAAACACACATTCATGACACACTCAACAGGTCCTCATAAATCTGTAATTTTTCTTACACAAACTTTTTAAGCTAGTTTAGAAATAGCCTACTGTAATTCAGTAATTCACATTTTCCATGCTCAAAAAGTAACATCCCCAATTTAATACTGCTGATTAAGTATCGTGTTCACCAATTTAGAGAATCAGTTCCTCACATAATGGCTTAAATTAAGATAGATCAGCTGGATAAGCTAATGTTAGCTTCCCCAGAGCCACCAAACTTCTCACAACCGTCTTGCTGCTGCCGACCTGCAGACACAGCTGAGTCTCCACAGGCATGGCCTCGCAAGTAATTACTTTTCTTCATTTTCAACCACAGAGACAGTTATTCTCTGAGTTTATATACAATTTGACCGTTCTTTAACAGATATTTACACTTGGCCTGCAGTTGCAGTGTTAGTACCAATCAGTTAGCCTAATAAGCTAATGTTAATGACATGCATTGGTGAGAAAATGAGTAAGCTAAATTATGAATAAAGGGAGAATAATACCATGTATACATCCTATTTTATTCAGAGTAAGTATTGCTGTTTTTTGGAACTTGTCTTGCTGACTTTTTGTCATCAATCTATGTAGATTTTTGCTAACTGAGGAGCACATGGCCATTTGATAAGCATGTCAAAAAGGAGGACCAGAGTTGATCCTGAGGCTGAGGCTGTTCAGTTTTATCTTTAATTTTATCTTGAGGTGACAAACCTTGTTTAAGGTCAGGTGGTCAATAAGAGCTATTTTCTGCTAAAGCTGTACGATAACCTGTCACTGTTCAACTTTACGCTCATGTAATATTTCTTCTTTAAAAAAGGCTATTATTAACCGTGTTTTTTTTGCAGTTATATAATAATAAATCCCCCTCTCACCCATTGCGGGGTGGTATGTGTCATCCTCAAGCTCCGGTCCTCTACCAGAGGCCTGAGAGTTTGAGGGTTCTGCGCAGTATCTTAGCTGTTCCTAGGACTGCACTCTTCTGGACAGAGACCTCTAATGTTTTACCTGGAATCTGCTGTAGCCACTCTCCCAGTTTGGGGGTCACAGCCCCCAGGGCTCCGATCACCACTGGCACCACTGTTGCTCTTACTTTCCACATCTTTTCTAGCTCCTCTTTCTTGGTATTTCTCAAGCTTCTCGTGTTCCTTCTTCTTGATGTTGCTGTCGCTTGGGATCACCACATCTATCACTACTGCCTTCTTCTGCTGTTTGTCGATCAACACGATGTCTGGTTGGTTAGCCATCACCAGTTTGTCAGTCTGGATCTTGAAGTCCCACAGGATCTTAGCTCAACTACCTTAGGAGGTGTCTTCCATTTTGACCTTGGGACTTCCAGCCCATACTCATGGCAGATGTTCCTGTACACTATGACAGCTACCTGGTTATGGCGTTCCATGTACGCACTTCCTGCCAGCATCTTAAACTCTGCTGTTATGTGCTGTACTGTCTCAGGGGCATCCTTGCACAGTCTGTACCTGGGTCCTGCCTGGTGTGGTAGACCCCAGCCTCTATTGATCTTGTACTGAGTGCCTGTTCTTGTGCCGCCATGATTAGTGCTTCTGTGCTGTCCTTCAGTCCAGCCTTTTCCAGCCACTGGTAGGATTTCTTGATATCTGCCACTTCTTCTATTTGTCTGTGGTAAATGTCGTGCAGCGGCTTGTCCCTCCATGAAGGTTCTTCATCTTCCTTGTGCTCACCTTCAGGTTTCTGCTGCCTGAGGTATTCACTAAGCCCTTCATCTTTGGGGGCCATCTTCCTGATGTACTCCTGGATCTTCGTTGTTTCATCCTGGACAGTGGTCTTGACACTCACTAGCCCTCGGCCTCCCTCGCTACCCTTGGTGTACAGTCTCAGGGTGCTGGATTTGGGGTGAAACCCTCCATGCATTGTGAGGAGCTTTCTCGTCTTGATGTCAGTGGCCTCTATCTCCTCCTTTGGCCAGTTTATTATACCAGCGGGGTATCTGATGACTGGCGGGGCGTATGTGTTGATGGCTCGGATCTTGTTTTTCCCATTCAGCATTCCAATGTCGTTGCTGTAGATCCTGGTAGTGTGGATCAGTGAGTCAATGTTTCGCTCATTTCTGGCATACAGCTTGATGTCATCCATGTAGAGGAGGTGACTGATGGTTGTTCCATTCCAGAACCAGTATCTGTAGCCAGTCTTTGTGATGATCTGGCTGAGGCAGTTCAGGCCTATGCAGAACAGCAGCGGGGATAGTGCATCACCTTGGTATATGCCGCACTTGATGGTGACTTGTGCAATTGGCTTTGAGTTGGCTTCCAGACTTGTTTTCCACAGCCCCATTGAGTTCTTGATGAAGGCTGTCTGTGAAGATTCTCAGTCTGTGGCCCTTTCATCACTTCCCAGGAAACTCAACAAATGTAACCTATTGGCCTCAGGTGAAGATGCCAACGATGGTCGTTCAGTCTTGGCCTTCGGTAGTCCTAACGACTGTAACGAACTCAGCTATTTATTTCTATCTATCAAATAAATAGCTGAGTTCCCTACCAGTCAGTCAGATCTGTCCAGTGTCTTCAACCAAGTCCAGTTGCCCTTGAATTTGATGAAGAGTGTCTTGTTGATCTTGTACATTTTCAGTATCCAGTATCCATGTATATGGCATTGAGTCTTGTAGTCAATCCAGGCAGTGCACAGATTGGTCTGCCTGGTCTTGCAGTCTCGAGTGACTGCTCTATCAACCAGTAGCTGGTGCTTGGCTATGTATTGAGCCTTGTGCCTACTCATCTTAGCCGCTATGATGCCTGACAGGCTACATCCCATAGTCTCTGCATATAACCCCTCTCACTGAAGGTCTTGTTCCAGTAGCCTGGGTTCCTGATGCAGATCTTGTTAACCCGGGTGACGTCTGAGCCG